GAAGGGCTGCCGGCACCTTTCGTTGCTGCCTTGGGCAGCGTCAGCTCCCGCCGCCCGTGTCCCTCTGACCGCACCGTGACCTCCTCCCCGCTCCCCTTGGCGCTGTCCGGCTGTCGCCCTTCTTTCCTTCCAGAATAAAGAGGGAAAAGGTGGTGTTTGCCCCAACTCCCTGATCCGGGTATTACCCGCGACTCCATCTTCCCGAAGATCACATCACTTATCCCAGAGCATCCGCTGTGATTTGTATCTGCGGTACTTCTGTGATGTCTAGTTTCTGATGTATTTATTAAATAAACGGGAGCCGAATGCTCTGCGATCTCGGCAGGAAACATTTCTGTTTCAGTCCTGCCGAGGTCAATATTTGATGTGACCTGTTTTCGCGGGGGGTTACGAGGAGTCAGCAGAGCTGCAGAAACTTTAAGCTTCTATGCCTAGACAAAAACGTCATCGACAGAAATATCAAGGGATGCTTCACCTCACTCCTGTTTCTCCAGCGAACTAGGGGATAAGAAAAAGAAACGAGAACAGGGGGAATTTCCTGAGAGGAATGACTACCTGAGTGGGACCTTGCCCTCCGCTCCTAACTGGACACAGCGGCTTCTTTATGGGACTCTGCCGTGTCGCCCCGCCCCGCCCAACAGCTTATGTATTGCGTTATTTTCTCTCTCCTCGGTGTCATGTTTGACACCGAAAGGGGAGCTTCTAGCACGTTTTATTAAGACACGAACACGTGCTCAGCAGCAAGCAAAACCTAAAAAAGCCTGCCAAGCCTTCCCTCCTTGCCGTGGCTGACACGGCGCTCTCCTTCCCGCTGAAAACCAATCGAATGCTCTGGAAGACAGAATGCTTTTTATCTGCCTTCATCTTCCCCTTTTCAATGCAAAGAGCTCACCAGAAAAGGCATCATTACACTCCAAGGATATGGTTTCAACAAAATGGTAGTTCCAGTGGCTGATGAAAGAGGAAATAATTGCAGCCCACATGCCTAGCCTAGAAGTAGCCCTGGATCTCAGAGCAAATTTCTCTCCTATTGTTCAGAGAAAGTGAAGTATCCTCATCGCCTTACAGGCATGGTGATGAATCTGATAGGGTTTCTGCAAGGGCTTTTACTGTTCCTGCTGTCCGCTCGGTTTCACTTCCAGGCTCAGTCCAGCAGCATTCCTGTGAGTTTTGCTCTGAATCCCCTTCTAATATAGCCACAATCAGTTTCGAAAAGAGATCTGCCTTCCAGGCTGTAACATGTGCCCAGTCCTCTGTTCCCTTTCACCGCAGCGAAAGTGAATAGCAATATCATTGCCCTTATTTTGCAAAGTGTTGTCTTTGAGCTCGCCTGCAGCTCTGTGAGGAGTGTGCTGTAGAAAGTCCTCCAGCTATTGGAGTAGATGGAGTACCCCGTCGTCGCTTCATTTACGGATACACAGCCTCAGCGAATTCACTTCTCATCTAAACCCCCGGCAATCCGAGACCGGAGGACGACAGAGCCCATCACCGCCGACCACGGCTACGACAAAGGGCGGCGCAGGTACTTGGCCCTGCAGAGGTTCGAGCACGGGAAACACCTCCTGTCTCCAGCAGGCAGGATTTGGAGATACCCCCGGCCGGGTTTGTGCTCCGGCCGAGGCAGAGGCGGACGCGGGTTCCCC